GCGACCTGGAATGGGTAATATATATATATATATAAACTTTTCAACTCAAATATCTTGTATTCCGTTTTGTGAGTGAGTTTCTCCTTGTTTCGTCTTTCTGTTTCCTCCAGTTTATTTCTTCTCATTCTGTGGAATTTATAAGTGTTCTCAGTCCCTAAAAGACTAAGCGAATGAATGAATGAATGAGGATGCAGGAGTCTGTTTGTCCTTTAGTTAACCACGCAGGGTGATGTTCGGAAATCCAACAAGAAACACACCTAATTGTATGGTTTGTCTTTTACTCCCGAACGCAAAAGAGGAGCGTAATTCATCAGCAGGGAATGCTCTTTTTACCGCATTTCTAAGGCGCTGTGTTAGCATCTCACTAATGTTGTCTCCTAGGAACTGCATCTGTAAGAATAAGGCCTTTTTTGGAACTGTTGGTAACTTGGGCTGCTTTGGTTTCAGATTCAGATTCTTATCAATAAACTTTTCAGGATAACCATTCTCACTCAGCGACTGTTTAATATTATTTAGTTCCTCATCAAGACATTCATCCGAGCAGATTGCTCTTACTCTGTGGACCAAGCACTTTATCAGATTGCGTTTGTATTTCAAGGGCACAAAGCTGAGAAAATGAGTGTACTGGCCTGTTGATGTAGGTTTCCTATAAACACTTCTTCTTATTGTACCGTCCTCTTTTCTGGTCATAAGGACGTCTAAAAATGAAATGCTAGAATCTTTTTCTTTCTCAATAGTAACATTTATTGCAGGATGAACTTCATTAAATTTATGCAGGATGTTCTTTGCTTCCTCCTCATTTTTCATGATCAAAAGTGTATCATCCATGTATCGACAATAAAATTCGAGTTCATTAATAACATCCTTCAAAGGCCCATTTCCTAGTTTCGCAAGGAAAGTGCCTTAAGGCAAATGACTAACTTTCCTAGCTACAGAGATTAATAACGACAAACCTGACCTGTATGCTTAAAAAAACAGCACAGTCATCCCCTTAGTTTACCTTGGCCTAGTATAAAACCATCAGGTAAATAATCATCTCATATTTTCATGCCACATTACGCCTTTCTTAATCCATTTTCACCTAGTTAACTTCACTCCATTATTATTATTTGTCAACCTAAGTGATTTACACGACGTTTATCATGCCTTTAGTATTTGATTACAGCCCACTATTTAACATCTTTATTTTACCGCTGCATTTTTTACCTGTCAGTCCTTAAACTTACATTAAGTGTTCCCCATTTGTTTGTATGTACTTTGTGGTAATCGTGTTTCTCTCATATCACTGATTATAACCCATTACCTCCCGCCCATAATGAAACTTATATTCTGTTAACTATAAATCAGTTAGTGTGTCACTCACCTGTCTGTTCACATTTTATCTTAGCTTCTGAATGACTGTACATGTTACATAAATTTCATTGACAATGTCCACTGACAAACCATTATTATTCCAGGTTATACATGTACACCGATGCACTTTCTGATATAATTTCCACTTGCCCCTACTCGATATTCTCATTCTAATGTTCATCGATTTACAATTGTAGAGCCTGAAGAACAAGCTGTCGAAAACAATTATTTACTCACTCAAAAATCATCTTGTTCTGGTTTTACTAGGAGGATATTTGCACTTAGTTGTGTTCTCTCTGAGCTGGTTGGTTTAGCTGTGCAGTTTTCGTCGTCCTTCAGGACAACATCCCTTTTCAGCGCAATTAGACCAACCAGCTCAGAGAGAACACAACTAATTGCAAATCATCCACCTGAGCTATACAAATCTTCTCTATTATACTATGAGGATATTTAAATTAATTAGTTTGGTAAGGCATTTTCAGTGGACATAATTAGTGAAAATTACTGCCCTCGAATTCAGTTCCACTGGATTAAAATTGCAGAAAATTCCGACAAGCACTTTTCGGTATTGATGTTAAGACCATAAGTTAATGGGAGCTGGTCAACAGATGACAGTGAACTAACTCTTAAATCGATTGTAGTGAATTTGAGTTGTCTGTGTTTCAGTCACAAAGTGCAAATATAGTTTATTGAAGTATATTCACATTTCAATAGTGGTCTACATTGGATGACAAGTTTTTTTATTTTGGTAATATTTCGAGGAAAATTATCATTGTGTGTAAACACAACTATTGAAGTATAAATATAGCTAATTTGATCTATTCCACAATGTGGAAACTTTTCACAGACATTAGTATTTTGTTCAGTTCATGTGGGACTGAATTGGGTAATGAATGGACTAGGAGTGTTTTTACTCTAGGCTCAGAGATATGCCTTTCTTGAAGCTGAATACTCCGTGATCATGATGGATTATTTGGACTTCTCATTCAATATCATTATTTTTTTCAAGAATTGCTCCAAAGAATTCAGTATGAAAGGCGAAAAATCCAACAACTCATATTTGTCTTTTATTCCCACCTTCAAAATGATTTACCAACTGGAAGGCTTTCAACCATGAACAAAACTAGGCGTTACAGTTTCTTAGGTGTACCTCAGTATATTATGGATGTTAGCTTTCGATCTGCAAGTAATAAGATCACAATTTTTGTAATAGCAATGCAAACGACTCCGCGATGTTGATATTTTACAACAAAAATAAATCATGGGGACTGAAAGTAGTTTCTAATACTCTGATGAAAGTGATTAGTGGCATTGGTAACTGTCAGTGTGTTTGAAATACTATGCTTCACAACTGCAAGAAACTTTAAGCAGTGAGTTTCCGTTTTCGAATGCTACAAGTGTTTAACAACAGCCATCCGGCAGCAAAATTCGCTCTACAGATGGAAAAACCTATCGAAAATCCCCTTTCTTGATGTGGAACTCTCTACTACTACTAGAGCTAACCTTACGAGGGGCAGTCCACAGGAAACTCACAGAACGGTCAGATTTCGAATTTATGACGAAATTTAATTAAATCCTTTGACACACAGATCTGACGCATCTGTAGTAGAAGCAGAACTAGATCTTCTGGAAGAAACCTCCATCCAAAATGGATATCTATCAAGATTCATTGACAAGAATATCAAACCAAAAGTTCAGAGGAACAAAACATTGCCTGTTTCGAAAAAACAAACTTTACAAGAACCTGGATTTCAAGGCAGTCGTATCCCGTGATATCCTTAAGAGAAAAATTTCATCATCTTTGTGAGAAAAATATTCTTCACATCAACGCTAAGAGTAGAGTTCCCAGGCCATCCACTGGCCCTCAGAAGCCTTAAAGACAAAATCTCCCATGTGACCACTTCTGTGTGTGCATATATCAATTTACATGTTCTTGTGAAGCGAGGTGTATTTGTCTTTCAACGAGTATTCTGTGTAAAAGGGTTCAAGGGCACAATCCCGCATGTTTACAGAAAAGTGGTAGTAACTCTATAAGGGGTACGATAATCGAACACCTTGTCAACACTGGTCATTCCGTCTCAACAAACGCCTCCTTCAAAGTAATCTACAAGGTGAAGAATCACCTGCCAAAGGCAATACAGTTACGTCCCCTTTGCATTACTGAACATAATTCCATATTTTCCTCCGTTTCTGTATGCATCCTGATCAGAACTCACTCACTGAATTATTCATCTTATTGAGTAACTCTTATACACTAATTCAAGTTCTTTTATGCATTGACTAATAATATTAACAACAAATATGTTTGTGACAATTCATCACTTTTGTCAATATCCTCTTTCTTGCACGAAGAATTGTACATAAATGCGATTGCACAGCTACATAAACTGAAGATGCTGTAAAAAGCCTCTTCGCTGAGCTACGTGTTTTGTCTTCAAAAAGATGTTACACCATGCATATTCAGCCAATTAGTGTTATCGGTTTCAAGATGGAAATTAAAAGTTGGAGTTAAAATCAGCCGGGAAGTTATATCTTGCATCTCGTGACCTATAGTGATGGCAATATATATCTCAGTGAAGCAACTTAAGCCCATTGATACACGATGAATTAAAAAGTGATTTTCAGAAATGTGAATAAAATCAATTTATAATCGGTTACATTATAGTTCATTTGTGCTACAAACTAGGTTACCAAGTCAATAATTTGAGGAATATTCAGTCTAAGGTTGAAATATCGGATTCTTGAGCAGATGCCTCGACAATGTTCCTTTGAAGTTTGAAACTACGGGCACTGGCTTCGAGTCTCGGTTGGAACATCTCACTCATGGCGCAGTGCAGGTTCATCCAGTTGACGAGCTCCAAATATGACGAAATGCGCTAGTCACCATCCACCGATCAACTACCAATTACATTCCGCCGAAGCATGTGCACAAGAAGCCGACATGTCAGCCTGAGACCGACCACTTCGGTCCAATCAATCGACGGGAAAAATCTAAAATTGAATTGGACATATATAAATATGAGGAATGTTAAACAGATGTTAAGGCCATTGCATAAAAATTAATAAAAATCCAGTTTCACTGAAATCCATGAAGCATTGGACAGCTCTTCAGTTCACCCACAGTCATCAAGTTTGGAGTTGAGAAAGTCACCGTTTAATCAAAATCTAATAGCCTACAGCTTCTAAATATTTACGGTCTAAGCTACTGCTCTCTACCGCCATCAAATCGGTCATAAATCTAACATTAGAAATTCTTTCTTAAGTCAGCTATAAGAACTTCACTAATCTAGACTAAATATTTGCTTGTTTTTAGGTAAGCTATACTGGTGTTGCAGAAGCAATTGGATTCTTTCATTGCAGTAAACAAAACGTTATCATTTTAGTATCTTGAATCAGTATACTGTCATTATATTGAGGCTTCTGTGTGTAAGGTATGCTTCGCTGTTACTTCCAGGCACAATTTCAGCAGTTAGTGTGATCACGGGCAGTAATTTTGCTTGAAACATTAACAAAATAAGACAAAATTTATCATTGTGTTTAAACAACCATTGAAATTATATTATAATTAATTGACCGAAACACCTTCATAAATCGGAATGATATAACCTCGTTTTTGTTTCCTTGTTTTTTTTAAAAAAACTTTTCAGACATTCTATACTGTGATGTTCATCACCTCAATTATCGCTATGATTTTCACCTTGGCTTATGTATATCAACACAGACGTGCAAGTTTAGAAGCCATTGAAAAAGGTGAACTGTCTGCACCTAGAATAGCATTTTCACTTCGCGGTGAAGCTGTCAATCTATACCTGCGATTTGGAATTGGATGTAAGTTCAAATGCTTCAATGTGAAAATATTTCCAGTCGATTTTCTCTTCTTCTTCTTCTTTGAATTTTGTGAAGTTAAAAAAAATTAACTCGCTTAATTTTTGTTGCATCCAGAATTGAAGACAGAACAAGCGAGCATCTAAAAGTTCATTGGATAGTATCAGAAAATCGATAAATTTAGGATATAGTGTAAATATTTGAGATCATATAATATCTGGAACACTAATAACTATTTCATAAATTATTGAAATAATCTCACTCTGGTGGTAGTCAAATCTTTGTGGTGTCTTTTCTATCTGAGACATAAAAGAGATAAAATATACTGTCTGATGATATTTCATACAGTATAAGATGGAATATTGTAAGCAGCCCCTGTCGTAATACACACGTTGCAATTAAGGCTTGTTTGGACTCGAATATATCTCCTTCATGATACTTGAGAATCAAACTGTCTTCATCGTTTCCAGTGCAACAAGGCTGCCCTTTGCCGGTATATAAGCACGTTAGATTGGAAGATACACAAAGGCATGTATGCGTTAATGGCAAAGTTGAATTCCAGAGTGTACAAACAAACTGGGACTGATATTATAAGTCATACTGTTAGCTAATCAAACACATTAGAATAATGTGTCCCAATACTATTTATCTGAATTTTAGATTTTCCCGTCGATTGATTGGACCGAAGTTCTCAGTCTCAGGTTGACATGTCGGCTTCTTGTGCACATGCTTCGACGATATCTGGGCATGTAATTACAGGTTGATTGGTGGATGGTGACAAGCAGTGGAATCCAGAATGCGTGTTTCCTCCCAAACTGGGACTCATCAACTGGATGAACCTGCATTCCGCCAAAGCGTTATCCACTAGACCACTTGGGCCACGAGACCTAGCACTTCAGTCCAATCAATCGACGGGAAAATCTAAAATTCAGTTACATAATTAATATGAACCGTTGCAAAAGAGATAGCTTTCGTGGCCCAAGTGGTCTAGTGGATAACACTGTGGCGTTTGAAACTATGAGCTTTGGATTCAGGCCTCTGTGGGAACACCATCACTCACTGTATAGTGCAGGTAGTATATAGAACACAGCTTTCAACATAGCACTTTTCACCAATACGCAGCAGTTCGAGTCGCCATACTCCCTTCTTGTAGCACACAAGGCAAGAGAAGTAAGTATAGAGAAATGCAAAATAGAGACAGTAAACAGGGATATAAGGCGAAAGGAATAGTATTATTGAAGAACAATATAGTTTTGCTGGGTATTATAATCCACAAGGAGTGGATGCATTTGCGCCAGACATTGACAACGATTTTGAACCGGTCAAATACTCAATTGTCTCCAGACATCGGTTTCTACCGTCCCGAGTGCCTCAACCAGGGAGTCAGACAGCCTACACCTCTCCACGTGGCTGGCTAGCTGGATTTAACTGACTGTTGTGGATTTCATTGACTGATGAAGCCATGTTTCGGTTTGACCGCCACCACCACTGGCCAGCTCTCGTCCGCTATGACCCATCCTATGTCAGCTAACATTGTTCATAGTCGAGGAAGGCGATGGATGGCTGGTCATGCATGCGTAACACATGTTTTAACCATCTCTCTCAATCAGTGTAACTCCACAACCTCAATATCGTCCACCCTATTTTGCCACCTAACAAACACGAGCGATAGAACGTATGCAGTTATGATCAGCATTGAACCGTGAACTAACTTAACTTAGACACAATTTAAAGCTTCTTTAGTGAGGTTCTATTCACTATGTTCAAGGTGCATTCTTCAAGAGTAAATCTCACCATGATTTCTTTTGGATTCATAAATTATTCAGATATCAATACGTGAGTCGTTTAACACTAGATGTTTAAATAGCAATAGGGATTCGTGCGAGTGGATTCCATATACTCATATTAACCATTAGTGTATTTTGTGAACTCTTCTCTTCCGAATGTTTGGATGAATTCATGCTAGTACCAAGTCAAAGGAAACCTAGCCAATATCTTGTTTTGATGCAGATGGCTATACGGCATCTATTGAGAAGGTCTATCCTCCACTAAGAAGGCTTTCCTACTACTGCTTTTAGGACAATTTACGTTTCTAGTGTGCAGAAGATGAACAGAAAGAGCTTTAATCCCCTGTCTAATATTATTTCCCGTTTCTATAGGAATTTCAGTATGTGTTATTTTTACTATTCGACGCTAATTCTACCTCTTGCGTATCCCTTTTTTCCTGAAATTTCGACCACATAAATTAAGCTGATCAGTTTGTATAACCAGGTAATATATCGGTCATATGGTCGGCAAGCAGATACGCACACGGAATAAACTAGAAAAAAAAGGCGTATTCAGATTATTTAACCATCAGTACATTATTGACACACTAGTGTTCAATCTATTTTTACTGTGTATTCATCCCGACAGCTTAATAAATGTCAGATACACTACGCGTATAAATACACTCTTATGGAGCCATTGAGAGAAAGAGAGAGAGAGAGAAGATAAATGCAGAAAGTTCAAACGTTCCTTCTTAAGGCGGCAGCAGCAACAGCAGCATAGTAAAACTAATGCGAACAAAGTTTTATGTGATTACGTAAACTGCGCATATCAGTATATCGTACGTAAATAATGATGTAATAAAATTCTGGATTGAAGGTGGAAAGTATATAAAAAAACTTCAAATCATCGACTTTGTGTAGCATACATAAATCTGAAATACCAATCTTTAAGTCTTTCTTCTCTTTTAACCGACAGCGAACAAAATGTCTTCCATATCAGCTGGTGGTTAATTTTTGGGATATCTTAACATACATTTCACTTAATGAATAAATTTTTGAAAAGGCATTCGATAGCACAGCGTCGATAGAAAGGTGATTTTGCAACTACTTCGCTACTTCGGGGTGCCACCGACAGTTATAAATCTCATCGAACAGCTGTACGACAATGCTGCATGCCAAGTAATCCACAATGGGAAACTTACGGAATCTTTAGAAGTAAAGATGGGAGTAAAACAAGGCTGTTTACTATCTCCAACGACTTTCCTGAGTGCAGTAGATTGGACAATGCGACAGACAGCGGGAAATGAGGAAACAGGCATAAAATGGACTCACAAAAAAGAAACTTGGAGGATCCGGACTTCACTGATGATATATGTCTGATTTCCCACAAACTGGAAGATATGCCAGTGAAAAGCATCAAGTTGGCAGAACAAGCATCCAGAGAAGATAGGAGGGACTTCAGGTGAACACAGAGAATACAGAGGTGATGAAGATTCCTGGCCAACACCAACAGCAACAACAACAACAACAGACAACAATCAGCATAAATGTGAGGAACCTGAAAGAAACAACCTCTTTTACCTACCTGGGAAGCATCGTTTCAACTACAGCCGGACGGAACGAGGATATCAAAGCAAGAATCGGAAAAGCAAGACAAACCTTCACTACTCTCAAGTCTGTGTGGAAGTCATCAGCACTCAGCATGAAAAATAAGATCCGGATTTTCAACTCCAATGTTAAGTCAGTGATACTATACGGATCAGAGACTTGCACTGTGCGTCATAAAGAGCACCTCAAACAAACTACAGACCTTCATCAACAGCTGTCTTCGCTCAGTACTCAAGATCAGATGGCCAGCAAGAAAAGATCAGCAATAGGGATCTCTGGGAGCGAACCAACCCGGCAGGAACCGATTGTGAAACAAATAGGCAGGAAGAATTGGAGATGGATTGGCCATACTCTGAGAAAACATGCCATCAAGTGACATCACTAGACAAGCCATCGCTCGAGTGGAACCCGAAAGGGAAGCGGCGAGTTGGTCGTCAGTGCAAGGGTGACTTGGAGGAGGTCATGTGAAGAGGAGATGAAAGCGTGTGGGCAGACTTGGAGCCAGGTGAAGACTCTAGCAGAGAACCGAACGCAATGGAGACGTTTGGCTGAAGCCCTATAATAATAATATAATAAATAATGTATTATTTTTATTTACAAGGCTATCGAATAGTTTATCCTCTAGCCTGAATTCTCTTCACTGAGTAATTTTAACCTATATATGAAAAAAAAATCCAAAAATTAATGTTCAGCAGAACGAAGTCATTAAGCCTTTATGTGTGGAGACTTGAATCACCCGTCTAGGCGCTCGACTTCCAGTCAGTGAGTTTTTGGTCGGAACCACGCACCACCTAACGAGGTGTGAGCATCCAGGTAGTATTATAACAGTAGAAGGCAAGACATGGAAGCCAGGGTATATTTTCAAGTGATCAAACAGCTATTTATATCTGTGCAATTTATACTCTCTGGCCAATCAGTGAGCGTATGATTTTGGTTTACATTAAACGACGTGAAATAAAATGTTCAAATACACATATAGCATTCTGTTGCTAATGCACTGTTGAATTGTTGGAATAGTATTCAGACGGTATCACCAACAAATACAAAGACTCTTACTGTGAGAATATTATTCTGTTGGAACCCATTGTCTGTATCTTACCATCACAGTATCACTAGCCCTCATGCAATATGTGTAACTCACTTTTAAGTACATGGGATTGCAAGTGTCATGTTAGACGTCATTAGAGGCGTCAGGTATTTATATTTATCATTTGGGCAAATTACAAATAAAGCTGAGATGTATTTATCAAAGGTGGGGGAGGGGTGCGTTATTCTGTGTTCTCACAAGTGAGCTTAGTTACAGCCTCATAATATGCATTCAGCATTTCAACACAGCAAGCAACTCACGCAGACGAACAACATACTTCTTATTATTAGATGGTTGGAGGCAATCGGCAGGAACCACAGCCTGACCTAGGTTTCGTGCTAGTTGGCACTCGTCAGCAACCTTGAAGGAACACATGCCCCTTCTGAGATTTTAGTGCCAACTAGCACGAATCCTAGGTCAAGCAAGGCTTCCTGTAGCCGATTGCCTCCAACTATCTAATATCGCCAAACCAATGTGTGCACCATGATAGCAAGCTACCTAGAATGGTGGACGCATTGCAAACCTGACTGACTAGAAAC